AATTAACGTTATGATAACGATACAAGGAGCAGGTGTAATCTGTGACTATTAATCAAATCAAATCAAATCAAATATTTTATTGTCGTATAAACTTTACAGTTTGTGACCAACATGTATTAACGGTAAACGGACAGAAAGTCACAGGACAAAAAGTCACAGGACATAAAGTCACAAATTTGATAGGACAAAAAGTCACAAATAATTTGTTGACAATTGTTTGAATATATAAGAGAAAGATCTTGAAATATTTTCTTTTTATTACATATATTCATTTTTAAATTTAGGAAATTGTTCATAAGCCTTGATAAATGAAAATTTAGGAAATTTTAATCGTGCAAAGGATATATTTCTTGGCACAATGAAACCATGTAAGTACCAAGCCACGTTGACATTTTGTTTTCATAACAATTATTTGATCATTATTGATATTTATTGAATAAATTTTAATTACAAAGTTGCTTCACATATAATAGTTCAAGAAAAAATAAAAATTTTATTTTCTAAATAAGTGTTTTCTTGTTTAAAGAAAATAATCTCAAAACTGAATTGTGACTTTTTGTCCTGTGACTTTTTGTCCGTGACTTTTTGTCTGTGACTTTTTGTCCTGTGACTTTCTGTCCTACATTCGTATTAACACAATAAACATATATACATACATATCAAACACACACAATAAAAAAACAGCATCAAAATTTATAAAAACAAACAAGTTGTTAAGAGTCCCTTGCCCTCAGTTCTAAGGACCTTTTCAAGAAGGATCCTAACTTATTTGTTTGTAAAGGCGTTGATGGATTTAGTAAATAATGAATTTTTTCTTCTTCGTTTAAATTATCAAAGTTATTATTTTCAGTACATATGTGTTCAAAAAGGCATTTCTTATTAATACATGTTTTATATATTGGCCCCAGCATGCATACACAATTATGATGACGATTACATGACTATCTACTGGAAGCAAACATTTGCTTGTACTTTCTGTATAATAAAACACTTATTTACTGGCTATTCAAACAATAGAAAGTTTATTGTCCCCCTCGGCACTGGGCAACGGGCATAGTTGCAATAATAACGAAACAAGATACACGAAGCGAGTCGTTCGACCTCGAGAGTTAGACAAGTTAACGACTGAAAAAAAGTTGTAATTAAATTGACACACTTATGTAAGAGATAAATTTGTCCTGGTAAAATATGTCCGGGCGGACACATATAACTAGTATAAAAAGTCCATGGTTACATAATTTACTAGTATATTTAGTCCGATGTTAGTAATTTATGTCCCCAGACTAATTTTCCTAGGAATTCAAGTCCATGTCATTAAATTTCCTAGGTAAAAACGTCCATGTCCTTTTTTTTATAGGAAAAATATTAATGAATCAAATCATTTACATTTAAACTATATTGGAAATTTAAATATTACGTTTTAATATTATTTAAGAGTTGTGTATTTATATTTTTAATAAAATTCATGTCCCCAGACTAATGTCCATGTCATTAATATTCCTAGGTAAATACGTCCATGCCATTTATTTTAAAAGGAAAATTTTAATGAAACAAATTATTTACATGTTAACAATGGAAATTCAATTTTTATGTTTTAATATTCTTTAAGAGTTGTGCATTAATACTTTAATAAAAATTATGTCCCCAGACTAATTTTCCTAGGAAATCATGTCCATGTCATTAATATTCCTAGGTAAAAACGTCCATTCCCTTTATTTTGAAATTAAATTTAAATGTTATGTTTTAATATTGTTTTAGAGTTGTGTATTAATATTTTAATAAAATTTATGTCCCCAGACTAATTTTCCTAGGACATTATGTCCAATTAACATGCCTAGGTTATAACGTCCGGCCATGTCCTTTTATTTTAATAGGAACAAATTAATGAAACTTTCCAATCTTACCCAAGAAAATGTTTTTTTTTATTTTCAATAATTTTTAAAATGTAATAAAAATTACTAGAAAAACAAGTCTTAGGACAATTTTTCCTAGGAAAATAAGTGCCAGACATATTTTACTAGGTATGGACTTATTTTCCTAGGAAAATTTGTCCTGGGACTTAAATTCCTAGTAAAATAATGGTCATGGACTTGATTAACTAGGAAAAAAAGTCTGGCGGACAAATTTTACTACCGGACCAAATTTACTGTTACACTTATACTTGCAAATAACTTACTCAAAATGGAAACATGCTTATGCTAAAGGTATGATGATGTTTGACATATGGAACACACTATATGGCCACTATACTTCTTTCGTAATCAAACTTTTGTGACGTCAGTTTGTAGAAAAACACTGATCGATTCTAATAAAAGTTGTCTGATGCTAGCACAAGATAAGCCACAATGCTTTTAAACATATCTACCACGCTTAGCAGACGTGTTTATCCTATGTGAACCAATGCGACTACGTTGATATAATCTATTCCATATATTTTAATTTTTAACTTGAAATAAAAGATACCACAGGTACACAATTAAATCTGCTGCATATCTCGACTATATACATCTAGCAATTGATATTGAGGGTTGGTTGAAAACTTAACTCCACGACAAAAGAGATTACTCCAGTTTTCCGATTGTGAACTTTCCATTATTATGCAGGAATATTCCAGCATCACCGATTATGATTTCCTTGATAGAGATTTGATTCTTACAAGAAAGCTATTTAACCAATGGTTATTAAAGGTTACGTTATTTTCACTCCCAACGTTTTACGGACGCAATCATAATTTAGTTGACCATTATGAAATATTTTTGTCATAACTGGCCCAAAATCAATATGACCTCTTTCCTCATTTATGACCGGCATCACCGAATGCGACCTTGCCGGATTTTTTCTCGATTTGAGCAACAAGATCGGTGTCACTAGTGAATCAGGAACTGATGACCCTTCCAGAGCACGTGACTGAATTAAAACCCTGTTCTTGGTTGGGATCGTGTTGCAAAATCGTTCTTTGTTCTCTTGAGTGTTGTTTGGTCTGTTGTTTGTGTTTTGTTTCTTTTGTCTGTCTTACATGCATTCCACTGGCTACTTTTTATGCTGGCAATTTGTCATTTAAAATGACAAGGAGACACATTTACACTGATAACTGATAAAAATGTTATGATGACACGAGAATTGATAAAAGTTGCTGTCAATCTGACACGTGGATATACAATTATATTGACAATTATTTCGTGTACCGTTCATTTTTGCTATAGTGAACAAAAAACTGTGAAATATTTTGAAGCATTGGACACTTATGAACAAATCCAGGACCCTGATTTTATGATTTTGTCATTAATTCAGATTGTTAATCAACTGTTATACACTGACAGCCTAAATAAAGACTACAAAACTTTAAAAAAAAATGCTGACAATCAATTGTCCTTCTGACTTGTCAGATATTTCCTTACCAGATTAACGAAAAGAAAGTAAATAAGATTTATTTTTCTTCTATTGATTTAAAAAAAATAAGTATCTTTCCATGATATGAAAAGTATTATGTATCTGAATAGCTAAAACAAAACAAAAAAACAACAACAATAACAGTCTTTACAAATTAACAACATCTATTCTTTCATCATCTTTGAATAGGTGATATAATAAGAATAGAACCTAAGGGTTATCAATAGTTATATTGACGTGATTGCCCTTTTGTCTGACTTTTGATAAAGTTATTTTGATATGAAATGGACAAAACCAGTTTGTGATTTATTGTTTGTCAAGCCGCCATCTACCAATCAATCACCTAAAAGTTATACAAGCAATTAATTTTGTAGATGGTGTGATTCCTTTTTTCCCTTTATTCACTATTCTTTATATGTTTGACCCTATTATTCTCTTTTCTTTAATTTTTTTTTACCATTTTTTTTTTGAAGGCACTGGCTACGATTACCCGTAAAAAGTAACAATAAGAAATAATTATTGTTACTTCCGAGACTAATAGCCAAAATGTATTTCCGGACAGGGACCAGATTTCATAGGGATAATCGTAGCGAGTGCCATTCTGGAAACACCATCATTACCCCCATTAACGGTTTCGTACTATAATCGCATAATTTCTCAATTCTCATCTCGCCTTATACAATTCCCAATATCTTTCTTTCACACGATCATCCAAGTTTTCCAAAATTCAACATTTTGCTGTATGATCAAAAAACATTCTTCTCGAATAAAAAAAAAATTAAAAAAAATAGAGCTCAGTTTGTATACTTTAAAGAAATTTTATCCAATTGTTCAACACCAATATTGTTAGAACTGAAGGAATACTTTTCTTTTCAAAGGTCATACAATCCATTCATATCATGAGAAACTCAGATGATATGAAGGCATTTATTTAGTAAGCAAGGTTTAATCATCTGAACATTAAACAATTACTAAAACAGAAAATGTGCTGCATAAAATTTGCTGTAGTACACCCCAGTTGTGCAGTCAATTTTTTAGCCCCCCCCCCCCTTTTCCAACAGGTAAAACATGTTTCCATTCACCCCAGTTGTGCAGTCAATGTTTTAGCCCCCCCCAGTATAAGTATGAAAAAAAAAATGAACACTCCTACCCCCCCCCCCCCCCCTTTTCCAACTGGTAAAACATGTTTCTTACCTTTTTAAATGGAACACCGTATGCAGTTAAGACGAAATGAGGACACACCATTCTCAACTGAGAACAGAGATATAAAAAAATCCAAAAGGCATTTTAAAACAAATGAAGTAAATGCCATAAGAGATCATAAGACAAAGTAACTACGTTGTACTTGACGGACAGACACATGCATATGTGGTGGAGTTCATCTAGTTTTTTTCCTGTTTTCTTATGTCACACTGTTAATGTTGTTAAACAAAAAGGTTTGATGAATTGATACGACATTGCTAAAAATGTGTTAAATATTATTATAATGTGGCAGTGGCTTAAATATGGACCATTCATTGAACTGTCATTGAACTTCAAAACAAAAGCACGTGGATTACTATTTTTAGCAGCAATATTATTTAACCTCCGGTTTTCGCATTGCATTGTGGGAACAGTATTATGAGAATGGAAACTGTCCAACTCTACAAGTGATCTTCGAACGCAAATTGCTGCAAAACAAAAGACATGGCAACGACAGAAAATGTCGAAGCGTCCTCTACGGAAGCAGAGACAGTCACAATCGAGCTGAAGGATGGTTAGTAAGATCGAAATTAGACACAAAACGAGCAACAATAATGGTGTTGTCACAGTTGTGGTTGTCATCTATAAACGAACATCAATATGTACAAAGTATTCGTGGGCGGACGATCTGCAGTAATTTCCGTTCTATAAATTGAATGCAAATGTTATTTTTATTGTAGTAAAAGCTTTACATGTGCTTTTCACTGATTTGTAACTGAATAAAAGTACACCGTTTATGACCTCCCAAATCTATATAAACCTGTCAAAATTCCGATAATTTAAACAGATTTAAAGTGAAAGCACCTGTCTTATACCTTCACTCTTTGAAAATGAATGAAAAAATTATTAATTAAATAGTAAAGTTGTATTATCGATATTATTAGGTTGTTAAATCTAGAGATTTTCCAATAATTGTTGCAAAAAATTTCTTCCTGAATTAAGAAACATTTTCCATGAAATAATTCTCAAATTTCAGTTTATCAAAGGGAAAAGAATCTAGATTGAAGTTTATATAAGATAAAACAAATATATTTGAAGAATTACTACATTTAAAAAAAGCTTCTCAATGCATTTTAGTGATGACCTGATTGATAAAACTGATAACGATATTTTCTAAACAGGATATTATTTTGATGTTACAGTTTGAATTTTAATCTAACTGATTAAAAATTAGATTTAAGGACTCTTGAACATATGTTTTCCAGTTGAAAATATTCATGTCCCTATTATGTTATATACTTTTTACATCATAGTACCCTGAAAATGGATTTGTTTAAATATATCCATTTGATTATTCATAAAAAATATTATTGCCCTGTTCAACTTTATGAATATCATACTTAGACAGAGAAGTGTATGCAAATTAGCTTTGTAGAGGATATCAGGCATTTCAAGTTTTGAAGAATAACTGATGATATGCAAATGACCATTTCTAAAGAATCTACTGGTTAATCCTTAGATCTGCAAATTTTGGGAGAAATGGGAGGTAATCAACATCCTTCATGTTGTTAAAAATGCACATCCACCATGATCATGATAGATTAAAGAAAAGTATAGGCATCACAATGAAGTAATTGTTGTCAAACAAAACAAAATCAAAATAAGAAATCGAACTATTCCAATAGAAAAATATCAGATCATTATCTAAAGTTTTGTTTTTGGAAATATTCAGCTTCAGCAATGTTTAAACTTTTCTAGATCAGGGGACCAAAATACCTGTTACAGGGTGCTCACTAAGCTGAGTCTTGGAGTCATGAAAGTTAAACTGGCTCCCCATTTTCTAAATTGATGAGTTCAAGGCTTAACCAAGATCCTATGTTCTGTTTCTAGATTACAAAAAAGAATAATCTGTATTTTACAGCCAATTCCAATGAGTGTGTAGCTAAAGGTAGAATCTTTGGTTAGCTTCCTTGCTAGCTCAACCATGAAATCATTATTAGGTAAGGCACATCCAGCCTTAAGATTGGGAGGAGCAAAGCCACAAACAAAGCACCATTTTATCATCCAATGAAAACATTTATATCAATGGCCTGTTTATTATTTATAATATATGTATGTTTCATACAAAGGTTTACCTAGACTACTTTGCAAATAAAATTTCATTTCTTAGTCTTTGATTGAATTAAAAAATCTTTTTATTACAATAAATTAGAAGCGGAATAACGTTTTTTTTTTTAAATATTTACGATGTGAATAGGCAGTTTAGTTAATTAGTGTCTTTAGGTGCATGCAAAAAAAACATTGTTATGGTCTTGGTGTCTTTTCTTCATATATTTGCATAGTTTTTAGAACTAAAATCTTCTATATTCACACAGAAAAGAAAAAAAATACCATACTACTTAATATCATGCACGGTTGCATTTGTGGACCTTTTATTTAGTTAAAAATGCAACGAAAAAAAACAGCAAACAACTGCAGTCTGGAATTGAAAATATTGCAGAGTTTATGAACATCCACTTGGTCCGTTAACATTACCTTACTTATTAGTTTTAGATAAATAATGCAGCCATGAAGAACAATTTTTATGTCTACTTCAGTTTTAATCTGACCTAGATTGAATGATCAGGTCATATGTACTTTTGGACACCTTCCAATCTTTTTTACCTGTCCGGGTGTCTTTTAAACATATGTGTATGTGTAAAAGCGAATACGGTCAGCACTTGTCAATCATATCCAACTACATTTTATTAACTTGATGTAACATATTCAACAGACAAGTTAAATATATTATTATTTGTAATGTCTGACGAAGTGAACTTATGGCCAAGTTTAAATATTGCAGAAAATAATTATAAACTAAATTAAAAGAAATAGAAATTAAATTGTTGCATTATTTTATACACCCTTTAATTATTTATAAAAAAATGGTTATTATAATTGATGTAAATTATAGTGTAAATGTGTTTAATGAAGCACGTAATGCAAATCATGACATGCATGAGTGATTTTCCAGTCAGCTACTAGGATAAAAAAAATCAATAACAGTTTTGTTCAAATGATTTGTATTCACAAACAGAAGCAAAAACAAACTAGTGCTTTCAAATACATTGTATCAGTCATTTAGATGTTGCTTTTCAAATGGTAGCATTTAAAATATCACTTCTCAGTATGGTTTCAAAACAGAAAATTATTCAGTTACATAGCTGTGCAGAAATTAACTACCAAACAGGTAATATGTAATTTCAAGTTTTTTTTAAAGCTGAATATATATGTAAAGTGAGCATATTTTCCACCAAGTTTTATAGCTCTGCCTTAATGAGGCTGGAGTATATATATTGATGCACCTATCTGTCAGTTCGTCACTCTTTTTATTTCTGGATGATAAGCAAACTACTACTTGACCAAATCTTTTGGAATTTAAACACAATGTGATGAGCTATATAATACTGTCAGTTTTGTAAGCTTTGGCTTTAATGTTTAAAGACTTATGCCCCTTATTATCATAACTTTATAGGTCTTTTTGCTCTCCAGATGATAACAAGGGGGTGCCCCTTGACAAAATCTTGTTAAGTTTTAACAAAATGGCATGTTGGTTTTTTCGTTTTAATTGTTTTGCAGTTTGGTAATAAAATGGCATGTTGGTTTTTTCGTTTTAATTGTTTTGCAGTTTGATAATGTTAGGGCCTTTCATAGGTGACTATGCAGTTTAGGTTTAGCTCATTGTTGAGAGCTGTATGGCCATGATTTACTACCAAAAATAGTCAAAATATGTTTTGAGGCATAAAAAATTAGGACAGGTAGGTAAACTCTAAACACAAGTAGTATTTTTTTGTGTGACTGGTTGCTATTTGGATAAATTAAAGGAATGACTGTAATATTTTTTCTGTCTACGAAGAAATCACATTAAAAATGTGGTGCACACTGAATAACCAGCGTAGCGGGTTATTTAAAAGTGTGCACCACATTTTTAGGTTATTTCAAATAGACAGAAAAAATATTACAGTCATTCCTTATAATTTAATTTTAAATTCCATTTTTAAGGAGTAAATTTTGAAAAAAACGTTGGTGACGTCACGGTCACATGACAAAATTATGTCTATGAGCTGATAGACAAAACACTCAGCCAATCAGAAGACATGTTACATCCAAAATTATTTGCATATATATTAAGAAGCAGCTATACACAGACAAGTTCTGCAATAAAATAAAATAATTTCACATTTCTTTAAAGTACCATTTATTGTAGTTCAAATATTTTTTTTGCATTTCCAGTGAACATGACAGGCCAGGGAAAAGTTGCAATGGCAGATTTTGAATTGTTAAAAGTTTTAGGAACAGGAGGTAAGTAGTAAATATTGAGACACACATTCAGCAGATATTAGAATTATATATGTGTATATTTTTGTATGATTTGCTTATCTGCAAAAACTTGATTGTGATTGGTCCTTTTATAATTTCTTTCCTTGATTTTCATGTTGATAGATCATGTTGCTGGAAACTTTATCCATTTCACTGTGATATATGCTTGCACAATACACATGAATGGAATGCTGGAGTTTCTTGAAAGGTAAAATTTACAGGAAAAAATAAATGTTTGGGATGAGAATTTTAAAGGATGAAAACATTTTTCCTTAAAATTATTGATGTGTAAACTTGGCCAATGCACTCACAAACTTTACACAAATGTCTTTTAGACTTTTTCGGTTTGTGAATACACAAGCTTTTTGACTTTTATTTAGTGTGTGAGTGCATTGGCCCAGTTTACACATATTAAAATTACATGTAGGAAAAATGCGTAATAAATGTGTTATAAATAAAAAACAATATTCACATCATCTTGTGAGTAAATTTGGTCATAAGTGTAACTTGTTGATGGGTTTGTAGTTACATATAACATGTATAATCACTTACAATACAATACAATAAAAGGTTAACAAAAAGATATCTTAGTCATGAATTACATTCTAAGGCCACACCAATTTGATTAATAGTTCTTTGGATTTTTGTGCTGTTTTGGAGATATTGACTTTTCAATAAAAAAAAAAAATGACTGCTTCCGCAAATTTTTGGTCTGCATGCTGCTCCAAAATTAGTTTCTCCTTGAAATTTTGTTTTCACAGTTTTAAAAACACGTGTAATAAATCGATTTGTAAATAAAAAGTCAAAATTTGAGATGCCAACATGCAGTTGTGTCAGCTCATTGCGGTGGACAAGTAGTTATTGAACACACAGTTATCCGAAATGCTTCTCGTTTTACCTTTAAAGACCTGTTCTAGGATGCAAAAATAAGAAATCTTTCGTTCGATGACCACAAACATCAATATTTGTTAGAACCATTGTCACCCCCGATCATTCCCATGAACTTTTTAAAAAGTCACAGAAGTATTTGATGTTGATGAAACCCCATATACCCTTGTTAGTCTTTTGGCATGCAAGCAAAACACTTTGTTGGGAGGAATTTAAAGAGTTCCAACGAGACCAAGGTGATGCCGTATTGTGATTGGCATGCTCATAATAATTAGGGGTGTAATTGGTTCAACCACTTCTAGTTAAGCTAAAGAGTTTTAAATGCATTACAGCTTTAAGGAGCAAAAGGAAAGAGTATTTTGCTCAGTAAGAAAAATGCATGTGAGTTGGGTGACAGGTATTTTAAGGGAATATTTTAATACATTTGGATCTACATGTACAGCAATACAACTATCTTAGTCAGGATGTTGTTTTAGAACAAAGCAAGAAATATTCACCTCACTCATTATTTTGATCCTAAATATGCATAAATAGTTCCAACCGGATGTCAAGCAGCCAATAAATAAAGGCAACAGTAGTATACCGCTATTCAATAGTCATAAATCGATTAAGCAAAAACAAATCTGGGTAACAAACTAAAATCGAGGGAAACACATCTATAACAACTATAACAAAAAAACAACGGAACAACAGAAAAACTGAACTACAACAATAAACAATCATTATCATATAATGAAAACTATCAAATATCTTTCAGGTGCATTTTTGTCGAGCCTGCGACTTTTGTCGCAGAAAGCTCGACATAGGGATAGTGATCCGGCTACGGCGGCGGCGGCGGCGTTAGCTAACTTCTTAAATGCTTTATATTTTAGAAGGTGGAAGGTCTGGATGCTTCATACTTTGTATATGGATGCCTCATGTTACGAAGTTTCCGTCAGTCACATGTCCAATGTCCTTGACCTCATTTTCATGGTTCAGTGACTACTTGAAAAAAAAGTTAAGATTTTTTGTAATGTTAAATTCTCTCTTATTATAAGTAATAGGATAACTATATTTGGTATGTGCGTACCTTACAAGGTCCTCATGCCCGTCAGACAGTTTTCACTTGACCTCAACCTCATTTCATGGATCAGTGAACAAGGTTAAGTTTTCGTGGTCAAGTCCATATCTCAGATACTATAAGCAATAGGTCTAGTATATTTGGTGTATGGAAGGACTGTAAGGTGTACATGTCCAACTGGCAGGTGCCATCTGACCTTGACCTCATTTTCATGGTTCAGTGGTTATAGTTAAGTTTTTGTGTTTTGGTCTGTTTTTCTTATACTGTATGCAATAGGTCTACTATATTTGGTGTATGGAATGATTGTAAGGTGTACATGTCTAGCTGGCAGGTGTCATCTGACCTTGACCTCATTTTCATGGTTCAGTGGTCAAAGTTAAGTTTTTGAGTTTTGGTCTTTTTTTCTAATACTGCATGCAATAGGTCTACTATATTTGGTGTATGGAATGATTGTAAGGTGTACATGTCTAGCTGGCAGGTGTCATCTGACCTTGACCTCATTTTCATGGTTCAGTGGTCAAAGTTAAGTTTTTGAGTTTTGGTCTTTTTTTCTAATACTGCATGCAATAGGTCTACTATATTTGGTGTATGGAATGATTGTAAGGTGTACATGTCTAGCTGGCAGGTGTCATCTGACCTTGACCTCATTTTCATGGTTCAGTGGTCAAAGTTAAGTTTTTGAGTTTTGGTCTTTTTTTCTAATACTATATGCAATAGTTCAACTATATTTGGTGTATGGAAATATTTTATGATCTATATGTCAATCACGCAGGCTTTATTTGACCTTGACCTCATTTTCAAGGTTCATTGCTCAGTGTTAAGTTTTTGTGTTTTGGTCTGTTTTTCTTAAACTATAAGCAATAGGTCAACTATATTTGTTGTATGGAAGAATTGTTAGCTGTACATGCCTGCCTAGCATGGTTCATCTGACCTTGACCTCATTTTCATGGTTCATTGGTCAATGTTTAGTTTACTTGGTTAATGTTAAGTTTATGTGACAGTTGTAATAAAGCTTTATATTTAGGACTATCAACATAATATCAATGATTAGTAAAGAAGGCGAGACATTTCAGCGTGTGCACTCTTGTTTTGGATACATACACATATTTTAATTTTATTCAAAATGTGTCATTTAGTTACCTAACTAACATAATTCCTCTTGTAAAACTGCATCTGCTATGCTTCCTAAATATATATAGGGATTTAAATGAAAATTCACATAGACAAAGCTTACTTGAAGAAAATAACCAAAATTAACTAAACCACAGTCAGACAAGAAAGTCGGATATGGTACAGGCACCAATAAATCAAATTATATGCATTAGAGCATCTGTTGCTCCTTGTTTTTCCATGAAATAACACAGTTATTACATGTACATAAATTGTACAACTTCTAAATCACACATTTTAAAAAAACAATTATACCGCTCGCCTCAAAAAAACTCATTTTCAAGAAATATATAAAAACAAAAAAATTTCGCTCTCTTACACCATATTTTTTGTAGCTTTTGTCCAAAGAACTATTAATCAAATTGGTGTGGCCTAGTCTTCAATTTTGATAATGTGAATAAATCAAGGTGAGACAAACAGACTCTTTAGAGCCTTTAGTTTTCTAAGTTTGTAGATAGTTTCTAAATTGGGAATTGGACAGCACTGAAAAAAAGAAATAATGGATATCGGGCAAAAGTTTTATGTTTGTGCTTTTAGGACCTTCTATTAGACAATAAAACAATAAATTTTCAACAAATATGAGAAAAATCATGACTAATCTATCAATATTGCATGTAAACTATGCTCTAAATTTTTGTTTAGCTTATGGGAAGGTGTTTTTGGTTAGAAAAATAGGCGGTAAAGACGACAACAAGCTGTATGCAATGAAAGTTTTAAAGAAGGCAGCCATAGTACAGAAAACAAAAACAACAGAACATACTCGTACAGAAAGACAGGTGTTAGAGGCTATCAGGGAATCACCATTTCTAGTCAAACTCCATTATGCATTCCAAACTGAAGCTAAGCTGCACCTTATACTAGGTAAGTGCAGATGTACAGTACACACAAGGATATTTTGTTTAAAATCACTCTGGTTGGTGATGAGTGAATAACAGTGAAACAGGGTGAATGCAGGTGATTTTTTGTGAAATGAGTCGCTGTTATATAATACTGAAGGAATATACCCAGATATATTTCAGAATAAAAAATCCACAAACAACTGCAATCATTGTGAAAAATCACAACCTAAAGAGATTTTAAACTGAATCAACTTGTATGTACTCACTATTTTTGCCCCCCAAGGGTGACTGGGGAATAGAAATATGGTCACCATTGGTCTTCCTCCGACCGGCAGTAAAACCCTCGCCAAAGTGGGGCGTCCGTTATGGCTGTGCAGGATGTACAAATTTGCAGCCAAGTCCGGTCAGAATGGGGACGTTAAATCTGATGCCTCGTGTAAAGAGAATGCCACGCTCTTTGCACGTTAAGAACCCTTGCAACAACTCTTTGAGGAGTCCGTAGGTGACCTGTTGCAAGGCTAAATTTCTGTCCTTATCCAATATACCCTCATTTCCCGTGGCAGTCTAAATTTCTCGGACCTTAATCCCGGACTCCCCTATTACAGAACCTACCTATGGAATTTATTGTTAATTTGTTCTCGTCCTGAATATGCATGAAATATTTGCCACTGGATGTTAAGCAACCAACAATCAATCAATCACTATTGTTGTGTAGAGTATGTAAAAGTTTCACCACGAGTGGGTTGACCGTTATGGAATATCCGTTTCACAGATAACAGTGGATATGTTCCAATTGGCGTAACTACAATCCGTCCCCTTTTCCCGAATGTGACCTACCGAATTAGACTTATAATTGGATTTGTACTAACATGAGCAACGCGACAGGTGCCACATGTGAAGCAGGATCTGCTTACCCTTTCGGAGCACCTGAGATCAACCCAGTTTTTGGTGGGGTTCAGGTTGCTCAGTCTTTAGTTTTCTATGTTGTGTTTTGTGTACTGTTGTTTGTCTGTTTGTCTTTTTATTTTTTTAGCCATGGCATTGTCAGTTTATTTTCTACTAGTTTGAATGTCCCTTTGGTATCTTTCGCCTCTCTTTATCAACAGGATATGTTGAGAATAATTATGCAATTTGAATTTTTTATCACTCAGCCATTCAGAGGATGGGACTGGAAAAAAGGACCACATATTACTATAAAATTTGGAATTGTAGAAAAAAGTAGACTCTGTCAAATTTGAGGATATAATGTCCATTTGTGTCATGATATCCTTATACTACATGCCACAAAATTAAAGAGGATACACTGAGTGAGTGACAACTGCTATGATTTGAAGGAGTTGGACCTGAAGATTAAATAGGTGCAAATAGACTTATTGCTATTTTGGAATTTGTAACACTTGACTCGAGAGGTTGCGACACTTGAATTGTTGACATCATACAACAGTAACTTTTGCATTGTTTCTTCAGACATTTTCTCTTATGACGTCAAGATTTTACGGTATTGTCTAAGGTGGCTAGTAACACCAGGCAAATAGCGATAAGGTGTATAGAATCATTTTAGCAAATCTGCCATATCAGACATTTCATCTCAGAATAATCTCCCAGATGAGCTACAAAACAGGTGAACACAATAGGATTGTGATGTTCCTTATTGCCCTGTTAACTGGTGAAGATAAATTGAACATTGATATGGTTGATAATAATTACCTGGAGCATAATAATTACCTGGAGCACATTAATTACCTGGAGCATAATGAAAATGTTCAGTTGTAGTGTAATGAAGTTACTTTATAATTGAAAAGGTGACTGTGATTGATTTGATCAGTTGTGGAAACAATCACTTATTTACTCTATTTCAGATTATGTTAGTGGTGGTGAATTGTTTACACATTTAAATTCAAATGAACAGTTTGAGGAGAAAGATGTAAGGGTTTACATAGGAGAAATTACTTTGGCATTGGAAACATTACACAAGGTAAGTGGATATACGTTGATTGCTTAACATTCATTGATTATATTCAAGATTACCCTTCTAAAAGTCAATTGCTAACCAAAAACTAATAACTTGCATAGTTGATAAGCTTAATTTTAAGTTTACTTTCAAAACATGTAGATATAAAGTTTTTAGACTAACACAAAATCTACACAACAAAAATCCTCTTTACTTGCCTTAGTTTACAAAATAATTAAGGTTCAGTAGATTTATAAATAGATTATTATGTAAATTGCATTCTGACTTTGTGTATAATTTATGTTTGTGTATTTCAGCTTGGAATTATCTACAGAGATATAAAGCTTGAGAACATTTTACTAGATTCCTCTGGTCATATTGTACTCACAGATTTTGGTCTCAGTAAAGAATTTTTACCAACAGATAAGGTATACCACCTTAAACATGATAAAATTTCAGCAGACCACTAATGGGAAGTCATCTGCTTCATAACTGATTTGTATATTGTATGGTGTATTGATTATTATATTTAGCAGCAACGTTCCCCCTTTGTTGTTATAGATTGTTTCATTTTGATATTAATCTTTCCTTGAAATTATGCAATATTGTGACAATAGAAAGTATGGTTTATTTATTATATTTTTTTCTGGGAAATGCAACACTTGCAATTTCTGGTTACATGACTATTGATTATCTGAAAGACTATAAGTTATCACAATTTATTTGCATATAAGTCAGAGGGCAAAAGCAGAATAAGGTCAAACATGACCATTGATAAACAGAGATATAAAAAACAAAAGAATCTATAATAACCAAAGCAAAAAAATTGTGTATATCATAAAATTCAAGGGCAGTTATCTGCATGAATTAAGTCTTCATTATTATTTTTTGAGTACCACAGAGCATTTCCTTTTGTGGTACTATAGTAATACTATAATAAACAAAATTATTTGCATCAAAAACAAAACAATCCATTAAAACCAAACCAAAAATTTTGTTTAATCTTAAGATCTGCATAAATTAAGTCTTCATAAGTTGTTGGTTTTTTTTTCAGTACCACAGAGCATTTTCCTTTTGTGGCACTATAGAATACATGGCTCCTGAGGTTGTTGAAGGCAGCAGTGGAGGGCATGATTTTGTAAGTTTTCAATCTACGTGTGTGAAATCCTTAAGATTTCAGAATTTTAAATAATAGTATTTTGTGGTTGTTTAGATATATATAATGAAAAATACAACATGTTAATTTTTAGGTAAAAGAAATCAGGAAAAAAGTATGTTAGCTTTTCAAGAAGCATTTATATTTAGGTTCATGAAGCAATTTAAAAAATGATGGATGTTTCTTTAGATCAACCTGAAGACAAAAAGATGTACAATAAAAAGGCATTCTTACTCACCTGGTATTGCTTGAACTACCTTGAGAATTACTAAATCATAGTCTCTCAGAATCAAGAATCTTAAACTTTAGTTGTACAGTAATATACACATTTTGTTTGCAGGCTGTAGATTGGTGGTCTCTAGGAGTCTTGACCTATGAACTTTTAACTGGTGCTTCACCTTTCACAGTAGAAGGAGAAAGAAATACACAGTCAGAAGTATCAAGGTGATTTATATTTTTCTGTTACTAAGTAGCTTTCACTACCATTACTATGCTTGTTCATATGTGAAAAGTGACTTCTTGTCACCCATTAATGATGTGTTAAATAAATAACCTAATGATTTCATTTTCCTTTTTAGGAGAATTTTAAAAGCAAGTCCTCCAATACCAAAGTCATTTTCTCCCGAAGCCAAAGACTTTATACTTAAACTTCTAACTAAAGATCCACATGACAGACTTGGATCTAGAGGAGCTGCAGAAGTTAAGAAACACAAGTTTTTTAAGGTTTGTATAATGTGTCTTGTAATCTATTATTATATTCAAAGTGCCAAAGGAAATATTCTACTGACAGTATTAAAAATTGGGGTTTTTAGACAATGAAATATATTAAGGCAAATAAAGTTTTGACTTAAAATGCTAGAATTTTGTAAACTCTTTTTAGATCTTTTGAAGTTCCAAAGCCAGTGAGATTTTTATTTTCAGATTGTGAATGATACTCACTAAACATTCCTCATTCAGAGCACATATATATCTAGCAATGATAACATAGAAAATAGAAATCAGATGGTAGATTTTTTAAATGTTTAAAGTAGTTAAGTCATGTAAAATATCCATCGTATAGTTTCAATAATGAATAGAATAATGATTTCATTTTGAAAGTGTTTTTTAATCTCTAAACAGTTTCATAAGTATGAGTGACTGTACTTTTAGACTCTAAATTGGAATGAACTGGCCCGTGGAAATGCACCAGCTCCATTTGTTCCAAAAATACAGCATGAATTAGATGTTAGGAACTTTGCCACAGAATTTACCAACATGATACCTGCAGATTCACCAGCTATTGTTCCTAATAATGCAGAGAGAATATTTAAGGTAGGTGAATAGCAAAAATTTTATATACCAATGGTCCAATTTGTTCCCAAAATAAACAGAAAAAAACCTGATATTTATATATTAAGATAAACTTTGTATCAATAACACATAAATGAATAGAAAATAACTTAATCTTATATTCAGTGATCAATGGCTGCTTAATGTCCCAAGTAAAAATATTACATGTGTATTCATGTGATTTATTTGGACTCGAGCCCATGATATTGTTGTCTTGGTGGCCAAGTGGTCTAAGTAGTCAAACTGCTGTATAACTAACATGTCAACGCTGAGGTTGTGAGTTTGAATTCTGCATGTGGCTAGTACACTTGACTCCAATCTTAATTGATTAGGATTGTCTTTTTTCCTACTGGAGGTCAGTGGTTCTCTCTGGGTACTCTGGCTTCCTCTACCAATAAAAACTGACTGCAACGAAATAGCACAATAGTGCTGAAAGGGGTGTTAAACACTAATCAATCAATTGTTTTAAAAGAAAAACCTGACCTATTGTTTCTTGAAATCTTTGGCAAGATGTATTAAACAAACAGAATTGTTTGCCTAAGGACTATATTTTAGAGATTTTTGTCGAGCCTGTGACTTCTGTCGCAGAAACTTGACATATGGATAGTGATCGGCGGCTGCGGCATTAACTAACTTCTAAAAAGCTTAATATTTCAGAAAGTAGAAGACCTGGATGCTTCATACTTTGTATATATAGATGCCTTAGGATATGAAGTTTACGTCTGTCATATGTCTATAGTCCTTGACCTCATTTTCATGGTTCAGTGACTACTTGAAAAAAAAGTTAAGATTTTTTGTAATGTTAATTTCTCTCTTATGAGTAAAAAGATAACTATATTCGGTATGTGCGTACCTTGCAAGGTCCTCATGCCTGTCAGACAATTTTCATTGACCTGGACCTCATTTCATGGATCAGTGAACAAGGTTAAGTTTTCGTGGTCAAGTCCACATCTCAGATACTATAACCAATAGGTCTTCTATATTTGGCGTATGTAATGATTGTAAGGCATACATGTCCAACTGGCAGGTGTCATCTGACCTTGACCTAATTTTCATGGTTCAGTGGTAAAACTTAAGTTTTTGTGTTTTGGTCTGTTTTTTATGGCCCCGCCATAGTGGAGGGGGCATTAAGTTTTACCCTTGTCCATCTGTACGTCCGTCCATACGTACGTCCCGAAATTGGTTTCCTTTCTCTTACTTTAGTTTGCCTTACCCAAATGTTATGAAACTTGTACACAATGCTTATTACCACAAAATACAGATCAAGTTTGAATTTGGGTGGTGTCACTATTACTTTTCTAGAGTTATGCCCCTTCCATTTTCTAATTTAAATTTGTCTCAACCAAATGTTATGAAACTTATACTCAATGCTTATTACGACAAAACTCAGATCAAGTAAGGATTTGTGTAGCGTTACTTTTACCGTTCTTGAGTTATGTCCCTTTACAACGTTAGATGCAAGCGGGGGCATCATCTGTGTCCAATGGACATATTCCCCATTTTATTTTCTAATACTGTTTGCAATCATGCAATGGGTCAACTATATTTGGTGTTTGGAAATATTTTACAATATACATGTCAGTCTGGCAGTTTTATTTGACCTTGACCTCATTTTCACAATTCATTTCTCAATGATAAGTTTTTATACGACCGCAAAAAATTTTTGCGGTCGTATATTGGTATGACGTTGGCGTCGTCCGGCGTCGTCCGAAAACACATTGGTTTTCGCACTCTAACTTTAGTTTAAGTGAATGGATCTCTATGAAATTTTACCATAAGGTTCAATACCACAAAAGGAAGGTTGGGATTAATTTTGGGGGTTATGGTACCAACATTTAAGGAATAAGGGGCTAAAAAGGGGCCAAAAATAAGCATTTTTGTAACTTCCAGACATAACTTGTGTGTTAGTGTATGGATCTCTCTGACATTGTACCACAAGGTTCCATATCACACAGGGAATGCTGGGATTAATTTTGGGGGTAATTGCCTCAAAATATTAGGAATTAGGGGCCAAAAAAGGGGCAAAAAACAAGCATTTTTTTAGTTTCATGACAATAACTTGTGTGTAAGTGTATGGATCTTTCTGAAATTGTACTACAAGGTTCCATATCACAAAGGGAAAGCTGGAATTGAGTTTGGGGGTAATTGCCCAAAACGTTTAGGAATAAGGGGCCAAAAAGGGGCCAAAAATAAGCATTTTTCTAGTTTCCAGACAATAACTTGTGTTCAAGTGTAAGGATCTCTCTGAAATTGTACCACAAGGTTCCATATCACACAGGGAATGCTGGGATTGATTTTGGGGGTAATTGCCCAAAACGTTTAGGAATAAGGGGCCAAAAATAAGCATTTTTCTAGTTTCCAGACAATAACTTGTGTTCAAGTGTATGGATCTCTCTGAAATTGTACTGCAAGGTACCATACCACAAAGGGAAGGCTGGGATTGAGTTTGGGGGTGATGAATCATAAGGGGGTTCAAAAAATTGGGGGGGGGGGGGGGATTTTTTTTTTTTTCCTTTTTTTTTTCTTTTTTAAATTTTCCATTTTAAGTTGGTTATTTCTGTTTTATATTTAAAAGCAAATAATAACGATATGGTAGGAGATACACACCAAACAGGATGTGTAAATTATTATAAAATAAGTATTGTGCAATAGCAAGAAATTTTCAATTGCACAGTATTGCACAATAGCAAGAAATCTTCAATTGCACAGTATTGCACAATAGCAAGAAATCTTCAATTGCACAGTATTGTGCAATAGCAAGAAATATCCAATAGCACAATATTGCGCAATAGCAAGAAATTGTCAATTGTACAGTATTGCGCAATAGCAAGAAATATGCAATTGCACAGTATTGTACAAAAGAAGATACTTCGTATAAATTGCTTATTTCTTGACCAATTTCAATGGGGTTTTATTCTTGAATTCTTGGGGTTCTTTAATATGCTGATTCTAACCGTGTATTAAGTTTTTGGATTTTGGGCCCCGTTTTTAAATTGGTCCACATTGAGGTCCAAAGGGTCCAAAATTAAACTTTTGTTTGATTTCATCAAAAATTGAATTATTGGGGTTCTTTGATATGCCGAATCTAACCGTGTATTTAGATTCTTAATTTTTGGTTCTGTTTTCAAATTGGTCTACATTAAGGTCCAAAGGGTCCAAAATTAAACTTAGTTTGATTTTAACAAAAATGAATTCTTAGGATTCTTTGATATGCTGAATCTAAACATGTATTTAGATTTTTGATTATGGGCCCAGTTTTCAAGTTGGTCCAAATCGGGGTCCAAAATTAAACTTTGTTTGATTTCAACAAAAATTGAATATATGGGGTTCTTTGATATGCTGAATCTAACCATGTATTTAGATTTTTGATTTTTGGGCCCCATTATCAACTTTGTCCACATTGAGGTCAAAAGGGTCCAAAATTAAACTTTGTTTGATTTCATCAAAAATTGAATTCTTGGGGTTCTTTGATATGCTGAATCTAACCATGTATTTAGATTTTGGATATTGGACCATAATAGTTGAATGTCCAATTTAAAATTTTTAAGTTCTTAGACCACATTCATTCTGTGTCAGAAACCTATGCTGTGTCAAATATTTAATCACAATCCAAATTCAGAGCTGTATCAAGCTTGAATGTTGTGTCCAAACTTGCCCCAACTGTTCAGGGTTCGACCTCTGCGGTCGTATCAAGCTGCGCCCTGCGGAGCATTTTATTGTGTTTTGGTCTGTTTTTCTTACACTTTAAGCAATAGGTCAACTATATTTGGTGTATGGAATGATTGTAAGGTGTATATTGTCTGGCAGGTATCATCTGATCTTGACCTCATTTTCATGGTTCATTGGTCAATGTTCAGTTTTCCTGGTTAACTTTGTTTTTTAGATACTATAAGCAATAGGTCAACCATATTTGATGCATGGAATGATTTTAAGGTGTACATGTCTGTCTGACAGGGTTCATCTGAACTTGACCTCATTTTTATGGTTCATTGGTCAATATAAAATTTCCATGGTTAGGTCTGTTTCTTTTATACTATGAGCAATAGGTCGTCTATATTTGGTGTATGGAATGATTGTATTAAAGGTGTACATGTATTTCCGGCTTGGTTTATGACCTCATTTTCTTGGATCAAAAATGTTAATGTGACACTTGTAGTCAAACTTTATATTTAGGACTATCAACATAAAATCAATGGTCAGGATAGCAAGCGAGACATTTCAGCATATGCACTCTTGTTTATTTTCAGGGTTATTCGTATGTAGCACCATCTATAATATTCAGTGATAACACAATCAGTTCAGATTTACTGTGCAAAGGGAAGGAAAATCAGCCCAGTGAAGGACATATAGTATATGCCAACCATTTTAAAGTAAGTTATTAGTGGTTTTACCATTGTAAGTAAGTAATTAATGGATTTATTTCTACACAAAAAATTTCTATGAATTTTGAAGAAATATTTAAAGGTTTATAAAATATGAAACAAAAATTGTTTAATTGTCATCACAATTAGAACTTAAAAGACAAGTCTAAATTTTGATGCTATGCATCCACAAAATTTACAGTATTTTGTAGTAGATATTACATAGAGGGAACCTGGAGCATTTCTATAAACTGGAGTTGACAAGAAGACCAAAGAGTTTTTATTTTCTCAGGAAACAATACATTTATTTTTCATAAGAATTTATCTATAAATAAAAATTTATCAAGAAATATAAAAGTCTCAGTGCATGCCATATTTCCTAAGTTTTAAAAAATTAATCGAGAGATATACAAACCATTTTCACTGCATGTTTATAATGACGTTAAGCACAGTACTCCAAATTTATCTAACTAAAGAAAAGCAGTATCTCTTATAAGACTAAAACATTAATTCATATTCCTTGGCCAATACAATAAGATATTGATGTTTTGTAGAGTTCACCATTTTTCCAGAAATATGAAATTGATTTGTCTGGTAAACCGCTAGGAGATGGGAGCTTTTCAGTTTGCAGGTAAAATACTTTTATGTTTTTGTAGTAATGATTACAATTGACAAAAATTAGAAATCTGAATACAAACATCAAACATTTTGTCATTTCCAAATTCCTTAAAAAAATACAGTGAGGATAAGTACAATGAACAAAAGTGTGGAGGGGCAAATCATTTGTCTTTGAACTATCAAAATGTGGTTTTAGTTTCAATAATGACATGGCAGACTGAATTAAAACAATTTAGGAATTATAATTCCTTCAGGCTTAACAATTGTAAATTATAAGTCATTTTGGAATTAGAGATGACCATCAGTGGGGTGCTTACACTGCATATAAAATGTTTTTCAAGGAACACTTAGAACTTTCTTAAGAGCCTTCAATTTTTTTGGCCATAAACATTTGATGTGAGCTCGAAGAACTCACAGAGCTTCAGAAGTTTCAAATGAATGCCTGTACGTTTAAGAGTGGTCTTTATTTCATACAAAATTTTTGGGGATGCAAATGCCTTCCATATCATCCAAATTTGAATCATGACTACAGCACTGGCTACATTGCAGAAGGTATCATAGAAATTTGTTCCATAGTAAAAGATGTTTGTAAACTAAAACAGTAATAGTTTGTGAAAACTTTGTATCTATACTTGCAGGAAATGCCTTCAAAAGGACACCAACACACAGTATGCAGTAAAAATAGTAACAAAACGTATTGATTGTACTAGAGAGGTCACAATCCTTAAACACTGTCAAGGTCACCCAAATATAGTCACTATAATGGATGTGTTCAGTGATGAGGTAATGTTATATTAAAAGACTTTGAATTGTATTCTTTTGATATAACTGACTTTTGACTCTGGAGTATATAATTTTTACAGGTTACCTACTTTATGGAGGACATTCTGGTACTCGGTCAAGTAAGAGCAATTAAAAGAAGAAAAATTAAGCTTACAACCTGTGCAATTTGGGGAAAACATTTATTGTTTTATGTTTTCTATACATGACAAAACCATATGAAAACAGTTCAAGGATGAAAGTGAAGGATTTGGAGGTCTGGCCTCATCCAAATTTCCTATGATTTACAAAAATTACAAGTAGTGGCTATTCCAAAAGTAATTATATTAGGGGTTGGGGGTTGTTGTAAAATTTGTTTTTCCCAAAAGACCCTCAGCCATACAATTTTAATTAGAAATTTTATACAGAATTGTGTGAAAAGATGTTTCAAACCCCACTACCTCTATAGTTTTAATATAAGGTGCCTTTCAACCCCTAACTGCCATACAATTAGATCCGAAAGGCCCAGAAAAAATGAAATAAAAAATGGGATAAATTATAATTTTCTTCATATTTTGGACAAGCGGTTAATATCATTCTGACTGACTTTGAACCTGTTAAACTTTTTTTTCAGTTACACACATATATTGTAATGGAGTTGTTAAAAGGAGGAGAATTATTAAACAGATTAAGAAAGAAAAAGAATTTTACAGAGCCTGAGGCCAGTGAAATTATGTTTAAACTTGTGCAAGCTGTTAGTTTTATGCATTCAAAAGGAGTTGTACATAGAGACCTTAAACCAGAGGTAAGATTAGTTGTATTATTACTATGGAGGTGTTGAACGTCCTTTACTACTCATGAGGATCTCACAGTCTGCCAAAAAATTAATTGTGATACATTTGATGCTATGTCATGTTGAGATATACTTCAAAAATTTATTTGGTGCCCATTTATTTTTTCCTCAGACTAAGCAGTATTTTACAACATTTTTATGATTTATCAGGACCTATTCAATTGTATTTGTGAACCATTAATTGAAGTGTTCAATGAAATACAAATTACTTGAGGCTTGTACGCAGAATTTGTGGAAACCATAAAATCAATTTTTCCTCAACCAATGAAAATTTTGACCAGTATAATAAATGAATCAGCAGTATATCTGAGACAACAATCTACAAGTTAACTGGAAAATTACCCTTATCAAAGGACAGGGATTTGGTTGTATATCTTTATTTTGATATTACTGTAAGATGTACAATGATGTGCCAGAGATTTGCACATTTAAGCAAGTTCAAGGTGGCCAATTGTATTATCTAAAGATATACGCTTTGATTATATGAAGAGGTGTGGAAATATCAAAATTTCTCACTTGTCCAAGGACTAATACTATACAAAAATCTACTAGCCAAGCTATTTTACTTTTCCCTACTGGTTGTGCTATTACAGAAATAACTTGTCAGAGACAAGTAGTTCGAACATATTTACTTGTCTGGGAGATTTTAGGACAAACAGGAAAAGTTGGGCATGGTATTGCCACATTCCCAAAAATCCTTGGTCTTGGAAGATTTTGTAAATAAGATTTTTCTGTAAATATAAATGTGGCATAATTTTTTCCAGATGAGTGATTCAGGCTTTAGTTCAATTTTGTCCTTGGAAAAATGTACGTCTGCTACAGAAATGCTAATGTTATAAGTTACAGTTTATTGATTAATTTCCATATCAACAAATAAGTCTTAAAATTTCAAAGTTTAGTAAGCAACTTTTATTATTCTCATCTTTATGAATAATCTTATCATTTCAAAACGTACTTCAAAAAATGAATTGTTGTTTTTGCTTGTAGAATTTAATATTTCAAGATGACACAGATAATGCAGAAATAAAGATAGTAGATTTTGGTTTTGCACGATTTTATAAACCTGAGATGCAGAAATTGGAGACCCCGTGTTTCACTCTGCCATATGCAGCACCAGAAGTTTTGAAAACATGGACAACAAAAGATGGTTATACTCAATCGTGTGACTTGTGGAGTCTGGGTGTTATTCTTGTGAGTAGCCTTATGATCAGTCATGTGACTTTTGGAGTCTTGGTTTCATTCTTGTGAGTAACCTTTTGATTACCTTCTTTTGGTGTGTATAAAACACACTCCTGCATAGTATGCACCCCCTTTTTCACCCTTGAAACTTGAGAAAAAAAGTTTCTTTTTATGCATTCTTATGAGTAGCCTAATTATCAATCATGTGATTTATGTAGTCTTGGTTTCATTCTTGTTAGTAACCTTCTGATTATTCATGTGAATTATGTTGTCTAGAATTTAGTTTTTTTTATACCCCTGATTTGAATGATACTTGTTTACCTATGTTTGTCTGTTCAATGTAGTTTCTGTTGTATTTCTCAGGAAAGTCAAATTAGAGCTTTCTGAAATTTGGTAGCCAGCTTCCTGTTAGCATGCTTTACCATGTGATGCATTTTCAGATGCATTGTTCATCTACTTCATGTTAATTGATATTGATATATCCTAATGCATAAGGGCTATGTATGAAATTTTCATTGAAATTCTCTTAGAAACTTTCAATCATAGATTCCTGAAATTTTGTATCAAGCTTTATATTAGCAAGCTATACTGATTGGTGCATTTATAATCCATTGTATAACAACTTCCTGTTACTAAATAATTATTCGATATTATGATAAGAGTAATATCTCACAGTTCAAATTGTTTATTTATGGGTTTTATCAGTTTAGTAAAAGATATCATGGAAACTAATATTAACTGTTAATAAGAAGGTCTGGATGGGGGTTCCTTCATTTCTTTATTCTTTGATTTTTATACCATTTTTCTCTTTTCTTTATTTATTTTGCTCATTAATCTCTATTCTTTATTTTTTAGCCTTTTATTCTGCACTTTTTCCCATTATTCTCCAATCTGTAAACTCCATGCAGACCCTCTTAACAAGTAAATTTATATTTTTCAGTACACCATGTTATCGGGAACAGTGCCATTTCAGACATACAAAAATGAAGACAGTGCTGAATCCATCATGAAGAGAATAAAGGGGGGACAGTTTGATTTCTCCACACCAGAATGGAAAGATGTTTCAGAACAAGCTAAAGATCTCATTCAAGGTCAGAATTATAAAATGTAACTTTTTAAAGAAGTTTGAAAAATGCAAGAATTAAAAGTTCAAAATTTTTGATAGATAGGTTGCACTTCTGTAAATATAGACAATGCAATTTCCCATAGGAACTCCTTATACGGCTAAAACTGTATCACATTTACTATGAAGTTTCGTAAAAAATTATATCTTAGAATGGAAAGCTCTTATGCACGACTAAGGTCAAAATATAGGGCTGTGCAGCATATTTTCAACATTTATATGACCCGAACTTCTAAGATTTTAAACTAATACTAAAAAGTAAAATAACAAAAATACCAAACTCCAAGGAAAATTCAAATCAGAAAGTCCCTTATCAAATGGCAAAATTTAAAGCTCAAACACATCAAACGAATGGAAAACAACTGTCATATTCTGTACTACCCCTCCCTTCACTTTGGGTCTTCCTCAGAATTCAATTTAGCCACTATCCATGTGTATTTATACTGGTAACATTCCAAAGTTATGTCTCTACGAGATGAAACATAAAGATCATATCCGGGAACCAGTAGGTAAACAAAACAAAATATCTATGAATATTATATATCTGCCCAAAAGAGGCGTGGTTTGTGAAACAGCTTTATTTACAAAGTGCAACCTATAGACAGTTTCATATGTCAATAGGGTGCATATGCCAAAATTACAACTCATATTTACTAGTACTTCAGTAGTATTTATAGAAGTACTGATACTGGCCCTTATAACTCTGAGAACAATGACAGACTACAGAGCTATCATCCTCCTTTGATTTGATTAAGGTGTAATACCACCAAATCATAGTACGTCACATCCGGTTGCATACGAAAATAGGTCGGAAAAAAATATTCCCTTGAATTTGACAGTTGTAGGTAATTGATCCTACATTTCATTGCAGTAAAACATTTCTGGGTCATAAACATATAACTTGGGTATTTCAAAGCACCATTATTTTTTTATTTGGGGTTTCTATAGAATATTTTGGAAACTTGAGGTTACATGGTTACTAAAGCTTGTACACAGGTTAAAAAAGGGGGAAAATTTGATTGGTTAACTTCCAGTGATGGTTATTTTCTTATATGCAATGAAATGTTATGTGAAATTTTTTCTATAGTACTGGACAGGATAAAACTTTACTCATGCCAAGTATTTCTTTATTTGAAACAAAGATAAATTCTGCACAATTTTTTGAAAAGTGCAAATTTAACAAAGACTAATAGGGGGAAATCAATGGTGGTATTACACCTATTTAATATGGGAAGCTGTACATGCACCTTTGACCTTGTGAGTACTCTCATGTGTTTAAATTTCTTGCTATTTAAGTGAAATATTACAAATAATGAAATATTCTGAGTGGATTGAGTCTCCAAAACACATTTTATGAGAAAATTTCCTTGAAATAGGACTTTACCATGAATATTAATTAGTTGACAGAACAAGCCATACTTAGAGTTTTTGGGGAGCTTTTTCTCCTTATTTCTTATATTCTGCTATACCAGAAAATTTTTCCTAAGAAATACTTTAAAAACTATATAGTTTTAAGTAAATGAAATTATTTTTAAAGCAGTAACAACAAATTATTCACCAAAAGAGAAGCTTTTTATGTCACTCTATGGAACGCGGTGTAAATTTAAATTTTACGTAAGGACTTATTGAAACCTCCTTGGAGACAGTAAACTTTTATACGGATAGTTCATTCAGCTTGAATACTTCAATTAATCATTTATTATAACATTTCTATCATAAATGAGTGAAAGTTACCCCAAAAATTTTATTTATTGGCCTAAAAAGTAGAAATTTTGAGGAAATGAGAGGTATAAATGGACCAAAAGAGACCTTATAAGGAAGACAAAGAGGTCCATTAGTAGTATTTATCATCCTAAAGTCATCTTTTGTATCATATTCAACTGTTTGTAGGCAGATGAGATAAATATTTGATCATTTATTGGTCCACACTATATTCTATCATGATGCGGCTTGGTTTGGATTTTTCGAAGAAATTTTGCTCGAAACACTGTAGATGTCGTCTTACATTATACTAGATTTTTCTCAAACTATTGAACTGATTATGAAAAATCTTGACAGGAATGCTTGAAATAACCAGTATTACAAAGGAAAAAAGTCACATTCAGTTTATTTAACAAAAAAGTCTTCTTTAGGTGTAATACCACCAAATCATAGTACGTCACATCCGGTTGCATACGAAAATAGGTCGGAAAAAAATATTCCCTTGAATTTGACAGTTGTAGGTAATTGATCCTACATTTCATTGCAGTAAAACATTTCTGGGTCATAAACATATATCTTGGGTATTTCAAAGCACCATTATTTTTTTATTTGGGGTTTCTATAGAATATTTTGGAAACTTGAGGTTACATGGTTACTAAAGCTTGTACACAGGTTAAAAAAGGGGGAAATTTGATTGGTTAACTTCCAGTGATGGTTACTTTCTTATATGCAATGAAATGTTATGTGAAATTTTTTCTATAGTACTGGACAGGATAAAACTTTACTCATGCCAAGTATTTCTTTATTTGAAACAAAGATAAATTCTGCACAATTTTTTGAAAAGTGCAAATTTAACAAAGACTAATAGGGGAAAATCAATGGTGGTATTACACAGTAACAATTAATTAATTATTGATAGGATTTTCTAAAATGTTTTTAGATATCATCTAAATTAAGATTGAGTCTCCTGTCTGATTTGATTCCATTACCCTAAGATGGAAAACTAGAAGTCGAGTGGGGGTGGTAGTGGGTTTTCGAATTCCAGCCTGAACTCCAGCCTGGTCAAACCAAAGACTTTAAAATTGGTATTTGCTACTTCTCCCCTAAGTATGCATAAGTAAGGAGTAAGTGTAAAGACTGGTTGGTTTGGAGTCAGAATAATGTGTCCGGGTAAGATGACATGTCTTCCTGCAGACTGTAAATAACTTGTGAACTAGCACGTTAAAAATCCAGCTCAGCTTGTCAGTTTAGTACAAAGCAGGGTTAATATTCATATTAAATCAACATATTTTCATCCTGAATGTGCAATTAATTTGCCGCTGGACGTTAAGCAGCCATCCATCATCATCATATTTATTATTTACATGTATATAAGAATTACTTTTGTTTGCAGGATTATTAACAGTGGAACCATCAAAGAGATTAACTATGGACGATCTCAAAGACAATGAATGGCTAAATAGACATAATAGTTCATGTTACTCATGTACCCCTCTGAGGACACCGGGTGTACTAAATCATACAGTTAATAGTCAACTCAGCGTAACTTTAGGTGCCTTTCACAAAGCTACTCGGGAAGGTTTCAGACTACAGGATGTGGCAAAAGCCCCTTTGGTTCTAAAACGTCGTAAAATGATGAAAAATTCAGTAGAAGATCGTAGTTTTTCTTCAGACAGCACTCATTCCTCAAGTTCTGGCGAATCATCAAGTCAGTTGAATTCTCAGCCATCACCTAAGAGAAATTTATCAAATTTATCAAGCATCTCTAGTGCATCAAATACCTCGTCTATTTGTAGTACAGGGTTTGTGCCTCGCACTCATACACCTGCCAACATGAATGAACAAGTCAATGTTGCAGAAGATGTTACAGTGGCAACAGAAGAAACTGGCAGTGCCTCAGAGTTGTTTCAGAGTAGTCGTGGAGAGAAACGAAAACATTCAGACAATTCCCAAGAGGAGAATGAAGAGGATGTAATCGTGATTGACGACAATAGTGAAGAATTCTCCGCTAGCGAGTCCGAGAGTTATGTCGTTGATACTGATGAGGAGATTGAGGAGGAAAGCAACGAAGAGGATCATCCTGATGTGAATCATCGGACTAGTCCTATTGTTATAGATGATTAGTGTACTTTATAGATTATATTGTTGAATTATTATAGCTTACAGAATCCAATACAGTTAGCCTGTACTGTACGATATGGCCGAAATTCATTTGAGAATCAAAAATTAAATGAGTATGGCAGCTCAGATTATTTTTTTTCCCAATTTTAAATGAGAGTTGTATGATAATTATTATTACAACTTCTTATCATATAAAAAAAGTAAAAAATAAGCAAAATCTAAGGTGATTTGAGTTGAAACATTCTTTATCCAAACTTGAATGATGTTGATTTTTCTTGTGAACTCAGCCTATATTTGTAACAGAATAAGTGTTTATTGTACTATATTAATATAGTATTCTAACTAGGATATGTAAGATCCTTGTTTTGACTTTGATGACTATGAAACAGACATATTATTAGTCTTCATGGTAAACTTTTGCAGCGACAGGACTCACACATTGCAACATTTTTGTAAAGATTTTATTGGCCTGTAGTAGTAATTCTTACTGCCAAATAAAAATTTTACAAGCCTATGCTGAAAGGGCTGTGGTCAAGGTGTTATATACCAAGATATGTATGTAATCTTAGATCCCTGTTTTATCTATGATGACTAGGAATCGAACAACTAACATAGACCTTATCGCTATCTGGAAATCTACGCCGCTTGACCCGAGAATCTGCGCCGGTTGAACTATTCACGTCATACAACAACCACTTTTCCATTGTGGCATCAGTTATTTTCTAATGTGACGTCAAAATTTTACTTGAAACTGTGTGATGTCCAGTAATGGCGGACAAATAGCGATAAGGTGTATTGTTATACTAAGGTACATACATTTGTTATACTAAGGTACATATTTGATTCTGTAGGTTATGTGGTTGTTGTTTGTCTTTCATTCTTGGTGCAACTGTAAATATAATCAAACATTCCATGACTTCATTTCTCATCATAAGGCCAAGTAGATTTTACACCTTTCCTTTCTTTAAATCTGTGTTATTTACTTTACTTTATCCTGTTTGTGCATGCTTACACATGAGGCCATCAGGGTTAATTTTGAAATTAAAATTTGTAAACATTACAATTTATATTTTTTTTTAAAATTTATCAGACTTTTATTATCAATATTGTTGGTTGATATTGACCAGAACTCACAACGTTATATAGATTTTTTGTGCAACCATTGTCAAGATGAATACATTAGGATATGTTCTGAAGAACACAATCAAAATTATTAATGAATATATAATTGACTCTAGTGATGTTGAATACAAAGATTAAAAGAAGAAGATGTTAGGCCACTATTTTGAACCCTCAATTTTAAAAATAATCATTTGGTAAGGATTTCTTTTAATCATTGTCATTCAGTCATTGACTGTTGGCAAAACATAACCAAAAAAATTACCAGTCTTATACTTATGGCCCTTAGAAATATCACTAACATGAAAAATGCTTTGTAAGCATTCTATTTGATTTGATGTTTCTTGACAGATTTTGAAGAAATTTCTAGGAAGGTTTATATTGGAAATCATATTAGAAAATCTGAATTATAGATACAGTCATTTTATTTTGACATTAAGGGGATCATTGCTGTTTAGAAGGTAAGTATTTTGACATCCCTCACTAGAATCATAATATGTATATTCAGAAGATCAGTATTATATTCTGTTTGTTCTTACAGCCTCATTTTGAAAAAAACATTATGTATCATTACAAAAAAATCATTCTCAAGTTGTGAGTGGTTAATAAACTGAAGAATTTACCAAAAGCACATAATACAACATATCTGCTATGAATTTAGCATACATATTTTTGTTTGTTTGAACTTTTAGAAAAGATGTGCATTTGAACAACAACAAAAACAAAATTACATTTTAACTTTACCTTTACGGTCAAAATGGTGGTTTCAAAAGAAAAAGGTGTGCAGCCTCTTTCTGAAATCACTTGGTGGTCCTTTCTTAAAATCATACTGAAAAATAATTTTATATTATGAAATTTTTTTTTTAATGTACTACAAATGTAAAAATTGTGAATATCATAAAATAGACCCTTCAAAAAAATATAATTGTGCATAAAAAATTAATCTTTATATTCTTGGATTGCTGTTGAAGAAAATGAAAATTTATTTAAGAAATACACTAGACAAGTACACTGATTAATAATGTTAAGTTTATATGTTACTTTTTGAATTTTTATCTTAAAATATTTTCAACATTGAATAAATCTCAATAAATTAAGCAGGAGAGACCTTTCTGTGTGTGCACACTTGTTATTGTAACCATCTCGCTTTTTGACTATTTTGGCGAATTGTTTTTATTGTGTCACCTCTGTGACATTTTTATTTGCCATGTATGTAGCATCTGAAAATCTGACTAGATTTCTCTTCATGAGCAACCTTTGAATTAAGCCTGGCTTGTATCTTACAAAATATTGTACCGGTACTTAAATTACGTCAGCATTATAGGCATGATATCATTAAGGACTATATTTTATCTGGTATGAGCCATAGTATTCTTTATATTTTTAAGACAGAGTCTGAGATAGTTACAGTACATGTAGTTCTTTGTTGTTTCTGCATTCTACTTTTGTTAAGTCTTATTGATAAAAGTGCATTGTTTTTACGCCACAGTTTTAGAATATGTATATAAAAATGCTTGTAAAAAAAATTGAATTTTAATTGAAAATGTACTATTTAAAGTTTTTGAATATTTGTACATGTATATAAAGTGCACATTTGTTATTTATATAGAAATCTTATGTACCTTCCATTTTCAAACTTCTTGTATACATGGCCATTGATTTGATTAACTTGATGTTTAAGCAAGTACTTCATTTTTAGGGTCAAATTGCAATTACATATAAACATACATTATTTTTCTAATTGTCCTTTGCAAGACAAGCTGGGGTGAGAGGGGGAGGGGTTTGGTGTCTGTTGGTCCTTCCAAAAGTACTTGGTAGGAATATTTGTTGTCATATTCTCTTGACCATGCTGTATCATCAGTTTGAATTGACAATTTTAAAAGGCTGTGAAGATTTTTGATGTGGTCTGCAAAGCTTTTTATTAAAATAATCATTTGTTTTGAAATTTGTTCACATTAAAGTGTGTTAGTTTCACATATAACCTTATTTGAAACATAGTTTCTGTGATAGAATTATCCTTATAAACTAAATTTTCTGTGATATGATTTCATTTTCTGTTATGTTGCCTTTTTGACAATTAAAAAAAAATAATAGTACTTGTATACTTAGCAGAGGACAAGTAGTTCAAATTTTGGAAGGTACAATTAGGTTTCTATTTTATATTGTGCCTGGTCACACTAAATTTTATCTCTTCACCTTTATATATTTGAAATTTTATATTGAATTGTAAATATGATTTTACATTTTTTAATTTAAAGATGTTATCAGGTGTAGTCAATGTGATATGTCTATAGGTGTTTTTTTGTGAAGGACTGATTACTTCAGGAAAGTATTGTTGTCCTAGAATAACCTGATTGGGCAGGGTTTGAATTTTAATAGTGTTTCCTGTACTATACTGTTAATGATAGAATGAAATTGGAATTTTATTACTGTTAGTGATATTTGTTATGTTAGTTAATTATCTCTGTAAACTTTGAAGTACTTGATTGGATAGAGCTTACCTTTTCCCAGTATTTCAAGTAGAGACTAAAGTAATTATTGTATTACTAAAGTAGTCAATGTATTACTAAAGTAATCATTGAATTACTAAAGTAATCATTGTATTACTAAAGTAGTCATTGAATTACTAAAGTAATCATTGTATTACTAAAGTAATCATTGTATTACTAAAGTAATCAGTGTATTACTAAAGTAATCATTGTATTACTTCAAATTTTGACTTGATCAGGCATGCTGTTAATGGCTGTGTAACTTTTAAAAAAATAAAAAATTTTAGTTGCTGATTAATTTACCAACATGTTCAATAAGGGTTTGTATTACATTGGTATGACAGTATTATATAGATGATTTAAAATTAGTATCAGTATTTATCCTTTCTCAAATAGAACTTCATTTAATAACATAGCATTTTTAGCCATATTTAAGCCATGCCTATTCAGGTTAAGTTAATTCAGTATGGAAGTTTTGTCCAAGCTTGACATTGACTTAAGTCACTACTTTTCAAGTCTATGGGAATTCTTAGAGAGTTGCCAAGCAACACATTTATTCTTGTAGTAGATCAAATGAAATGTTAAAGTTATATACAAATTTTGACATTAAATATAAGAAGTAGTTACATTTTCATTTATATTGATGTATGGAAGTTTCAAATATTTTTTTGTTGGTATTACGGTATTTTGGTGCTCTCTTTTGAAATTGATAATTTAATAGAATAACACTTCCGCTTTAGAGGAAAACTATGAAAATTTGTTCTTAGTTTGTTTTCTAGGAACAATTCTAAGGATGTTTCTTAACATGATGAGTATGTATGTACTGCAGTTTAAATGTTGTTAGTGACTTCTCTTACCAGCGTAAAAAGACAAATGATGTACTAAAATCTTGTTTTCAAATTAGACTATGACACTCTTTTTTTTTTAATATTTGATATATAAAAAGTGTGAAAGGTAAGGGGTGTTTATTTTTGACTAGATTGGTCATTCAAAATTTTCATAGGTGACAAAAAAAAGTCATATGTCTGTACTGTATACATACAAGCATAAATAAATTGCAGCTCAGTCTTATCTCAGGCCAGTTTAAACAAGAATGTTTTCAACTTCATTTTTTTTATCTCTTGTTTCAAAGATTATTGAAACTTATAAATGTTGTGTTTTATATAAAATATTTTTATTCATAATTCAGATAAGTAAAAATAATTTTTTATATATTCTGATGTATAAAATATCAAATGTATAATATTTTTATCAATGAATCAGATAATTTATTCCCAAAAAAATTAGTGTGAATAAGTTACCAAGTAAAATTGTGTGTCACAAGATTAACACTGTGATATTAAGAGCACCGATTTTTGTTAAACATTGTATTTTTATGTGCTTTAATTACCAGTCATATGCTACAACTGAATTTTCATGCAATAAATATTTTTTGTTGAATTTCTCAATTCATACAAGAAAACCTTCATGGAAAGTTGTCCCTAGGTCTTCTGCTCTTAGTTTTGGTTTACTTCTAAAAATAATTTAAAGTAAGGATACAATGCCTACAGAAAAATTAATTTTTTTGCTTGATTAGAACAGACTTCATGTAGCCACTAGTTTGTTTTCTCAATGGCAAGTTTTGTGTATTAATATCATAGGGGTTGGTATGTGTACCGGTGAGTTTGTTATTTTTTTTAGTCAGTTATTATTGTTTGTTAGGGTGAATGTGTTCAGCTTTTATTGCAATTACAGACTACAAATTTAAAACTGTATAAATTCTGTGAAAAGATTTGTATTTAAAGCGTCAAAAAAGCTTTCCTTTATTTATCATTTTATACATTAAATGTATTACTGTAGAAAATGTTATTTTTTTTTATTATTTTCCTCAAACATTTCTGGAAAATAATAAAATGATGAGTTAAGTTATAATTTGAATTATAATTATGTGTAGCTAATACAAATTAAGCATTATACAAAATAATAAATGTAAATTGAAATTCTGGAGTTTAAGAAAGAACAAAATTAGACTTTCTAAAAGTTTCATTAATTGAATATGAATTTCACCTGTTACACTTAAATATTGTACCCAAATATACAAAGGCCAGATTCTTCTAGAATCCAGTCCCCTTGTTATATCTGATTAGAGTCTTGAGATGTAAGACCATGGTCCATCTATAAAATATGCTATGGCTGACTTGAACTGAGGTCAGCATATAATCTAATGTTTTAGCTTTGTGAGAGGATTTTTTTTGGTTTAAGGTACAATAAGATAAAATACACTTGACCTTAAATACTGTAAATTCTGAAATTTTTGTATGCATGAATTATTCGATGTTGAAACAGCGGAAAAAAAATATGAGATATATTATTACCATTTTATTTTTGCCAAACGAATCCAAGTTTTAATAATTACATGGAAAGGTCATTAATGCTCTTATTGAAAATTTATAGAAAATCATTATTATGAAGTCTCGGTAATCATGCAAGTAGACATCTTCCAATTGTGATGAGTGAAGCAAATGTTGAATGTCAAAAAGTATAGTTGTCAACTCTCCAGATATCAGCAGGAGACATTTTTCTTTTAAAATTTTGACACCCCACCCCCAGTGGCAGTGAAATCAAACTATTGTCAGCACATAATGTTTTTACACAATTTGTAATTTTCCACCTGCATTATATGAAGTTTAAGCTAAGTATTTCATTAATAATTTGAATGTTTGGTTCCTATTTATTTAAAACTTTTTAGAATTGAACTACAAAAGTAAAATTGAATATAATGAAAAAACAGCACATAGTAGGTTTTACACCAAATGTTCTCTCAAAAGGATAATGTTGCCCAAAGTTCAGGTTCAGTCATTTCAGTTTCTATGTATGGGCTGCCTTTTTTCATTGCTTAGTTCCCAGTTAAATATCAATACATACGGCTGGACAGAATGCTGTTGTTATGAACTGTTATTACACACATACAAAACACGACATGATATTTTGATTGGTGATTAGCAAGCTCATATTTTTATTTTGTGTATTCGTTATGTGTGTATGTTAAGCCTGGTATCTTTGATGAGTTTTTTAAAAGCATAATTTTAGAATTGTACTAAAGAAACAATGATACATTGAGAAGATGTAGATTGAATGAAAGTATATGTACATGTAGTAATGTTTTATGATGTTAAGGGCATCAGTACACTTATAGGTGACTTATAAATGGCATATATTGTAAATATTAGTTAAGGACATAATTTGTTTCACTGTTCTTTGATTTGACTAAACGGAGTTCTAGGGTATATGTCAAAGAGACCCAACAGCTAAAAGAGAAACAACATTAGTTATTTGTCCCAAGGCTGGTAGAGGGGGCAGCAATGATCTTATATGGTTGGTTGGAGAATGTTTAATAGCCATTGTTACAAATTATAAAGCCTGGTATCTTAGATGAGATTTTACAAGTAGAATTAAACCATAAAACAACACAATTCAGATTATGAGGAAAATTTTTAAATGCCTGTTGAAAGAAGAGAATGCTAAGTAAAGGTGGTTATGGCTTATGCTGGCATATTTGTAAACTTAGATCTGTGAGAATATTTTTCGTTTTTATAAATTTGATACATCCGACACACTGGTTGAAAGTATGTATGTTTTATTAAATATGATACACAACAATTCAATTTCTCATTTGATCTCAAAAAGTTATTTTTTTATATTATTCTTTCAACATTTAAATATTATGAACCTTCTCTTTTTATAGATTTGCTGTCTCTTTGGTTATTTTTGAATATGCTGTTGACCCTATATATTCTTTGGGATATTACTGGTCAGGTTGCTCAAATTTCAAATCTTGCTTATGCTATGATGAAAGTTGGTCAAAGAAACCGTGAAATAATTTATCTGTCAATTTATTGTTACTAAGCAACATTTTCTTATCATGTATTGTTCAGTTTCCATGTTATTTCATACAAGCTAAACAGAATCATTTTTTTTAGCACTATGAATCTGAAGGCAATGCAGGTTTCATTGTATTATTACATTATTAAGTTTGATTAAAGTCATGTTCCATAATTGAATATATGAGTAGGTCAGGAGGCACATTGAATAAAATTTAACAGTTGTTTAAATTTTTACAGCAGCTTTCAGAATCATACATAGATTTAAAAAAAAATATACCCCTAACCCTAACACACACACTTAATTCTGAGCCATTAGGGGAGGATTAATCTACTAAATATTTATAGTGATCTCAGACAGTGAGTTTTCAGCTTAAAGTGCTAAGATTCTTTTAGGTAGAATTTTTTATTGTAAAATAAAATCCAAATAGGATGTAGTGTGCATAAAACAGTCTGCATAATGCTTTAGATTACAAATATGGCTGGTAATTTTGCAGTAGTATCTAGTATAGGACATTGTAATCAGATTATTTGCACATGTTGAACTTTCATACATTTTGAGCAATTTAGAGCTTTGTTTTTACTCATATATCATGTGAAACTGTTATTGTTTTACTTTTGTCTTCTTTGCTGTATTAATAGAAATATCATGTTAGATTTTAAATGATATTGTTTAATATTTTATGCATGTTATAGAGTCCATGTATGTTTAGTCTTGTTATCTATCAGATTTTTATTCTACGGCTTGATCAGATATCTCAATGTTTTTATCAATGCACTCGAGAGTCAAATTTGTATTCTGTTCATTGGTAATTAAATAAACAGGACTTCTCTTAGAGGTCTTAAGTTAAATATTCTGTCTGATATGAAATAAACTATAAAACATAACGTTTGATGTATAATTCTAGAAAAAGTGTAGTTAGATTCAACTTTGTTGTCTTGCTACCGTTAACTGGTCACATTTATCTCATCTCCTAAACGGTTCTCATTTTTCCCCAACATCTCTGAAACAATTAGATCAGACTGAATCATTAGAAAAAAAGCATGGTAAGCCTTGAATGAAAAGTTTATCCTGATTGGTAAGTTCCAATTTTTTCTAGAAACTACTAGGTTATTTTTTCTTTCAAATTTTAAATATGAATACTGCATTTATACAAAAGCTGTTGGGTATTCATCACATTCACAAGAAGCTTTATTCACGACTCTTTCAACGTTCCTTCCCTCTATAAATTATGCTTGGAAACCATTGTTACAAACTCCCATTCAAATCAAAACAAACTTACAGGTATCATCTCAGATATTGCCAGTCACAGACTTTTCCGACTGGTTTGCATAGGAAAAGCTGAAAAGGAGAAAAGATCCTTTCTAAAACTTTTCTTTACCGACAAAGGTCTCTATCAACTTGGGCAATATTCTGCATCGCAAATCAGTTCACTGTTAGTTCCCCATTTATGTAATCCGGCTAGCCATGTAAATACTGGTGACCAGAACATTTTTAATAACTCTTCTCTGTGAAATGTGTTATCCAAATGCCCAAATAGTGTGAAGCTAAATACGTCAATTGGAGACACAACTTCAAAACACTGATGGATTAAGTGGAGGACTATAGTTAAACGCCAAAAAAGAAGACCTAGTTACCGGTACTCTTTCTGAATTGGTTAAGGATGTGAAATTTGTTGGTACAAAATAGAATTAAAAACTGATTGGGTCTATGAAAACACATGCTACTTTGATCTTTGAAAATCCAGATGTTACTAAGCACCTGTCCTACCTTTATGATAACGATGTTGTTATTCCCGCAGATAGAGTCGAGAACAACATCGGTTTTGTGTGTAAATCACATTACATAAACTGCTTGATAAAGGAATAAGGTATTGACAATTCGCTTGGAAACTCAACATATACCCAATGACACTTACTAAGGAGGTAATCAAAGGTTTGTTCTACTAGTATGTTCCTTTGGAAATTCAACCAAAGATGGATAATTGGATCTTCCTTCACTGTGTTGGATACCTAAATTTGGGCTGCTTACAAGGAAGCTATCGAACCAGTAGTATAAAGTAGTGAAGTTGAAATCATCCCTTCAAAATATTTACGGGCGCTATCAGTAAGTTGACTGTTATGGAATTCCTGTTTCACAGATGTCGACAGATGTGTTCCAATTGTCGTAAACACAATCACGTCCTCTTTTCCTTGAATGTGACCTATTGAATTAGACTGATCACCGGGTTTGTACTTACATTAGCAACAAGGAGGGTGCCAAAAGTGGAGCAGAATCTGCTTACCCTTCCGGAGTACCTGGGATCACCCGGTTTTTGGTGGGATTCTCGTTGCTCAGTCTTTAGTTTTGTATGTTGTAGTTTGTGTACTGTTGTTTGTCTTTTCGTTGTTTTTCTTTTTTGGCCATAGCATTGTCAGTTTGTTTTGACTTATGAGTTGGAATGTCACTTTGGTATCTTATGAGCAGATTTCATACGTGGGCTTCTTCGAAAGAATTAAAAGAAGATAGCATTATCCTTTAACTTCATGTTCCTCTATATATATGATGTCCTATCATTTACTAAATAACCGCAGAGTTTGGTGACTATGTTCAACACATCTATCCAATCTAACTTGAAATAAAGGATACAATAGATACAGTTAAGTCTACCACATATCTAGGACAATGAGGGTGTGTTAAGAACAAAGCTACGACAAATGATGATTTCAGCCTCAAAATTTTGCCACATGGATTCCCCATTGGATCCTATATCAAAATTTTAATACTACTGAGCCAGTCTTACCTAGGTTTGGCAGAAGGAATACGTGAAAAGCTTCTATAAAATAATCATTACTTTGCTCCAATCGAATGAACTATGGCTGTGATAGGCAATGCTAAATTCTGAAAGATCAGTGTTAAAATTTCTTCTCTAAAACTACTAGGTCTTTTATCCATCTTCGAATAGAAGTCACAAATGTACCTAGCTTTATAGAAATGATGGTTGTGAGAATCCTCACGTTTTTGCTGATTTGGGAGAAATTATGCAAAATAAGTTTCACTTAAACTCGATTGGAAATCTTATTGTCATCTTTGAAATTAATACGTCAGTTTGAACCAAACTTTACATGATTATTGTATGGAAGGCTTTATACAGAAATCCTCATTAGATGAAAACTATGGTGGTTAGAATTATTTCTAGATTCTGATTAATCTGATGGACAAATTGAAAAAAATGCATTGAATAGTTTAGAAAAAAATCATTTCAAGGGTTATAGTCTTAGGCAGGGAGAACCTTCTTGACATTCTGTTGAGCAATTGAACTTTTTGTGTCCTCTAGCTTGTAGCGTTGATGTATTGTATAATATTTTTTTTTAATTTATAGTAACAGTCAGGAATTTGTGCATATTTTTGGAGTAAAGTGCAATATAATCCCTATAATCACTGACTTGTTAGCTATGTTCAACTTCAGCCATCTTCTCTAGCACATAACAGCACTCTTTGCTCTTTAGATCATACACATTTTAATGTCAAGCATTTTATTAATAATATATAGACAGATATCCAATTAACAGTATGATATTTATTACCTTACTTATCAAGATAAAAAGTTGAACAAAAATGTCCAAGTGATCTTTTCTCATCACTTGGTGTCCGTCGTCCGTAGTCGTCCATTAACCTGGCAAAAATCTTCTCTGAAACTACTGGGTGAAATTTAATCAAACTGAGAATCTTAAAATAGTTAAAGTGATCAGCAAGACAAGATCTACAAATAAGTCAAACATTGCTGAACTCGTCAGTCGACTGCTTATTGGAGTTCTTGCTCTTTAAAGACGATTTTTTACAATTTTTAGTGTTTTGCATATTATCTTGAAAACTATAAATTATAGAGCAACTCTTTTAGAAACAAAAATGATCAGCAAGACAAGTTGTTAGTTTATTTTCTACTTATGAGTTTGAATGTCCCTTTGATATCTTTCGCCTCTCTTTTAATACTTGATACTGTATTGCTGTTGACTACAGAAGTTTGAATGCTTTTATGATAACGCTAATTAAAGGCAACATTAGTATACCGGTGTTCAAAAGTCATAAATAGATTGAGAGAAAACAAATCCGGTTTACAAACTAAAACCGAGGGACACACATCAACTATAAGAGGAAAACAAATGAACAACAGGAACACTGAAGTGCCACAAAAACAAACGCCAACAACATACATACAAAACGAACTATTTGATAACAACTGCCATATTCCTGACTTGGTACAGAAATTTTAAGGAAAATGGTGGGTTGAACCTGATTTCATGGCTAGCCAGCTTGCCTATGTACACTTTGATATAAAGTAGTTAATGAGACTGGCTTCGTTGTATTTTGCATGCAATTATTTGAAAAATTGGGGCTTATGAATGTCAAATCAAGATCTCAGCTAGTTTAGTATGTACACTACAGAAAGTCGAATGTTGCTGAACTGTCAATTAAACTACGGATTTAACGATAGAATAGAGACAACAATAGGTTAGCAATGTTCAAACTTCGTAAAACAATTAAGAATATACATTGTAAGAAGGATACATCGCTTAGGATTGGCCAGCCACAAATACCAAATTATAAGCCTTGTATCTTTGATGAGTTTGTTTTTTCAGACAGCAAAGTGGGCGTGTTATACACCATTGTATAGATAAATTAATGTATATTTACGGCATAATAAGTTTTATTGTGATAGACTACCGCGGAATAGATAAATAACGAAAATTTGTGACTTAGTGTGCTCGTACCAACAGGATATTCAAACTTTCAAGATGATGACACACAGACACGTAATTGCAAAAAAAAAACAAAAAAAAACCGAAAAACGACAAATAAACACAGCCATTTTTGTCCGGTTGTTATGATGAACCTTAAAGAGTTAATTTGACGGAATCTTTTAAACATTACTGTTTCACCATATATATCGCTATGGTTCCGTGATCAATACCAGATACATATACAACATGTATGAGTCGCTGATATTTCCAACCTGGATACTGGATCTTGAAATAGAGTAGGCCTTTATATGAATAGAAGCTTTCATACCCAGAAACCATGCAGGCGAGTTTGTCTAAGTACTTATATAGGCCTATATATTTTTTTCTCGCTTGCGACGAAAGTTTCAGAATACGAGACATAGGGATTATAATCCGTTGACAGCGTAAATATTTGTTTAAAGCTTTATATTTCAGAAGATAGAAGACCTAGATGCTTCATAACTTATAGGCAGATGCATTATGTTACGAAGTTTCCGTCTGGCATATGTCCTTTGTCCTTGACCTTATTGTCATGGTTCAGCGACTGCTTGGGAAAAAATCTTGTTTTTTTTGTCATGTGAATTTCTCACTTATTACTTATTATGAGCAATAGGATTACTATATTTAGTATATGAGTTCCTTGCAAGGTCTACATGTCCGTCAGACAGGGTTCTCCTGACATAGACCTCATTTTAAGGATCAGTGGTCAAGGTTCAGTTAATAAACGTGGTCAAATCCGCATCTCAGATACTATAAGCAACAGGTCAAGTATATTTGGTGTATGGAATGATTGTAACGTGATCTAACGTGTACATGTCTGACTGGCATGTTTCATTTGACCTTACCTCATGTTCATAGTTCATTGGTCAATGTCAAGTTTTCAATGTTTTGTCTGTTTATCAACTTCTATAAGCAATATGTCAACTATATTTGGTGTATGGAATTATTTTAAGGTGTACATGTCTGTCTGGCAGAGTTCATCTGACTTTGACATCATTTTCATGGTTCATTAGCCAATTAAGTTTTCATGGTTATCTTTGTTTTTATACGACCGCAAAAAAATTTTGTGGTCGTATATATATATTGGTATGACGTTGGCGTCGTCGTCGTCGTCGTCGTCGTCGTCC